AGTAACTGTCAAAGTTTTTACTTATCAAAATTTAGGCCGGTACTGTCCTAAGAATGGAGGCGCTGTGGCGTAACGGTAAGCGCGTTGAACTCCGGATCGAGCGGTTCGGGTTCGAGCCCTGGTCGGGGTCATTGCGTTCTGCTCTTCAACAAGACATTTTACTCTCACGGGGCCGCCCTCCACCCAGGGGTATAAATGGGGTACCGAAAAATTTTACGTTGGGTTTTAACCCTTCTATGGACTAGCATCTCACCCGGGGGCGTGGGGGGACTTGAAATATTGCCTATTGCTTCCTGCTAACTGGTATGAATTTTACCTTCAAACAGAAACGAGGAGTTGATGACACAGAGAAACTTCCATACTATCCTTACCGAGATGACGGAAAGCTCTTGTATCACAAACTCAACGAGTTTGCTGACGCTTTCATTGATGCGTATGTCACCCAACAATTATTAACTTCATTTACATGAGATATTTACAACGTGCTTGGTAAAGGAGCCAAATGGTGTTACTACAAAGGCAGTAGTCACTCACTTGAATAGTATCACTTGTTGTTAATATCATCTGGCTGTGCTTACGTTTCTCGCCAAGTTGGACAATCTTGATACGTTCTGTTTAAATATCTACATAATTAACTATTCTATATAATATTAACGGATGGTCAGTTGCTTGCTAAAAGCATTTAAGACAAAATCTTAAAATAAACGTAGTTTGACGTTTCGACGCATTAAGCATCATTATCAAGAATGAAAAATTGTATATGCCAATATACAATTTTTTGTTCTTAGTAATGATGCTTGACGCATCGAAACGTCAAACTACGTTAATTTTAATATTTCTTGTTATCATATTTTCAATTATTTGATAACTTGCAGATATTCTAGATCCTTGGAGAGTATACCAGACAGAGTTTCTAATACAACATTTTTTGCAAAATCTTTCCGGGTTGTTGCAATGATATTCTAGCCCGAAGAAGTGTAATAAATTGATTGACTGTGGCATTCATATAATGTAAGGTACTCATAGATACGATCGCTGTTATGTGAATTTTGCAGGTATTATGAAGATGACGAAGAGGTCGTAGCCGATAACGAGTTGCAAGAGTTAGTTAATGAACTGTCAGCTGATGGTAAACAGGGAGACTTTGGGGGACTGGGCATGGTAAGAACGAGCATAGAAAGTAGCAGCTATCATTGTATTTATTATAAATAAAGTCTTATCATTGAAGGAGCAAAGTGGGACATAATTATGTATGCTTGCGCCGCATCCTTTGAAATCTGTTTCGGGACCCCTGCATCAAAAAACTTCTTACAGGTTTCGAGCCAGACACTCAAGAAACTGAGAAATATGGGCAGCGTTTGATATCATATTTAAATTAAATTGATATTAAATAACGATCACACGGTCGCTTCATTGTAGGTGAAGAAATTCCCAGCCACCATAGAAACGAAAGCCTCTTTAAGCAAGGTGCTGACCACTCTACTGTGGGCGTTCACTGGTCAGCACGCTGCCACTACTTACCCTATCTTGGAATATGGAGGCTTTGTACCTAATGCACCACACAGGCTGTTTGCTGACAGTAATGGCACTGCCACCTTCTCTAATTTGATGTTCGGAAACAAGGCTGTAGCACTGGTAAGGCGGTAATTTAATTTTTTTGAAAGATTTAAATGAAGAAAAGTGTAT